TTAGACCTCCAGAACCCCACATTTTTATCATATTTTCATTATTTTCATTGGTATGATTTGCAAATTTTCCACTTGGGTTGGTCCCCCAAAAAAGGCCAACACAAGTCCCAGAATCTTTCATAAAATGCAGGGAAAACACTGTTTTTGGGGGACTTGTGGGGGCCTTTTTTGGTGAACCAACCCAAGTGGAAATTTACCAGTATGATTCCTTTTCTTTTGGAGCATCTCAGGGGCACGACTTGGAGAAACCAACGTCCCTCTTCGGAGACCTTCCAGGGTTGGAGTCATTGAAGCGTGTGATGACCAGAACAGCGAGGGCTAAGTATGCAGACATTAGGTCTAGGAAGAATCAGCGCAGAAAGGAGCCAAAAATTTACTATGTAAAGAAGGGTGGCCGTGTAAACGGCACCAAATTGCTTGCTGAAACAGCAACATATCCAAAGCGTTTCTGCACAGCGCTGGTGAAGCTTTGGGCTGGCGCTTTCAGAACGGCTGGGCATCCTTAAAATGAGGATGTTTGGTCTCACGTTAGCCTTAGCCCTGTAGGCCTCATGTGGCCTTCTTTATCTTCTTTGCTATCTTTGCTCTTTGGGATCTTTGGGGTTGTCGATGCTCTCGAAGCATTCGAAGCCGGGCTACCAATGTATCCAATGATTCCAATGTTACCAATGGAGACTTCATCGACAGATTTGACAGTGAATCTGCGGGAAAGATGGGAACAAAACGCTATGAATGTGGCATTTGTTTGCGCTTCTAAGGTTTCTAATGTTTCTACTGTTCCCATGATAAACAAAGAAGCATCATAAGCATGAATCTATGCCCAAGAATCATCATAATCATCAGAATCCAACTGTTCCACAGAACGATCAGAAACCATAGGAACCAAAGACCCCCATGATTTCGCTCATGTGAGTCCACAGCATTACAGCCAGGCTTCATGCTGGCCAGCGTCTGCCTCTGCATCCTCCGCTGCGCGGAAGAAACATGGGCAACGAGCGCCTCTGGATTTTCGATGTTTGTGTGGAAGCCCCCAATGCCACCCACCAGACCCAAAAAATTGTGATGTTCTATCATGCTGCGGTAAAATCAGCGAAGTCAGATTCTCCGGCAAAACCGCATGTTGGATAGCCCAATGCTCTAACAGTGTTGCCCACAAGCAAGTCTTTGCTTATGGATCTTGGACTGGAAACGGGTGTCAGCGCGGACTTGGGAAGGCCGGGGTTGCCATGGTTGCCGGACACAATGATTACGATGAATCATGACAATGATGACAAGGATGATTTCGAGGGATCAATGATACTGAAGATACTGTAATGTTTATAATGATTATAATGTTTATACTTATTTCAAACTAGATATCCCAAGGAGTTCTACATCCCACCCATCATCCTATCATACCTTTCATAATTTTCATATCTTTCATTATTTTCATTGCAGGCGGTGCAGAAAGCCGCAGACGAGAAGGGCGACCAGGTGCTCCAGCAGAATTGTGCTTGGGATGCTTGGGTTTAGCTGGTGGTATAGAGATGATAAAGATGATAAGGATGAAATAAGATGATATAATATAATTAATATATAATATATATATAAGATATATAAGATCAATATGATCAATAAGATAAATAAGTAGACTCGTTGTTTTGCCATTTCCCCATATCCATCAAAACCAGTATTGCCATCTCCTTGGTGATCTTAGTATTGTCTTAGTATTCTTGGATATTCTTAGTGTCCATCTTGTCCGCACCAGGCCCGGATGAAACAGAAGGAGCAGGACGGCAGTGTCGTTCCCGCAGTTGAGAGTGAGACGAACATGGTGCCAGCCGAGATTGACGAAGCTGCCGTGCCTGATGATCCTGATGGTGCTGACGAGCCGGAGAGATGTCTGGAGAATCTGCAGGATCAGCATGGTCAGCCGAATCATCAGGACCATTTGGAATGACTTTACTATCTAGTATATTTTAATATATTGAAAAAACCTATAATAATTATAATAATAATAATAATTCTACAGTAATAATTATAATATCAATTAATATCAATATTATCAATAATACGTTGAACATCTTTGAACAAGAATGGTAGGATTCGTATTTTTAATGATATGTGATATAATGTATATAATTGTTATGCTTGTTTGCCATGCCGTGTCCAGGAAGACAATCAAGACGATCAGCTCTTGGTTGGAAAATTTCCACCGTTTCCATCGATCAAGTCGCCGGGTTGCTGGATGAGTGTGGAGCGGGAGCTTCTGGATTTTCCAGGAGATGATGCAGGGAAGGCTAGAGATTCGATAGTCTAAAATCGGATGGCACCGACACGAAATCTTTGAAATATCATAAATAAATCACAGATGGGATGACATGGATAATGATAAATTTATATAATTTATATGGTTAATTGTTTTCATGATGCAGGCGGAAAATTCAGAAAATGATCCTGATGGTCCTGGTCTTTCTGATCTACCTCCACTACCACCCCCCGCTCTAGAGCCTTCACTTTCATCAGATAGTTTGCACCGTTTGGATGATTTGGATGTCAAGCAGGATAAGCAGGCAGGCCCTGCATGCTCTGCACGCAGATGAAATCTGGTAATTCTGATAACCTGAGTATCCTGAGTTAGAACGGTCTTGAATAATGATTTGAATGTTACTAGCCATGTTGGTCTTGATCTTCTTGGTTCCTGGGCAAAACACAACAACAGTTTTTGTTGCCATATTTTTTGGGATGCAATGGGTAGCATCCTTTGGCCTTTGGCCAGGTGGACCAAGCAGCTGAGAAGGTTGAGAAGCAGGGTGGTGCCACAGTCGAGCAGAAGGCCAGAATAAAATGGGAGGGGCCTGACCCTTGGGGACTGTAACTCCCAGGCAAGTGTCAGGGATGATGTGTTTTTATTTGGGTCTCACTGGGGAGGGGTTACCTCCTTGTTCATCTTGTTCTCTATTCTTATGGGCCATGTGCCACAGTTTGTGGCACCCAAATAAAATCACAGGCATGCAACCTTTTTGGGAAACCATGGAAACCATGGACAGCAGAAACATCACCTTGATGACCTTTATATGTGTTTGGGTGTGCTGCTTGTGATGATTGTGCTGATGATGGTGATGATGCTGGATGATGTGTTTGGGCTTTCCTGGTTTTCATGGAATCCCTGCCCAATAAAATCACAGGTATCCATGTTCCTTCATTGTGCCCCCTTTTTTGCCACCCTAGCCACAGCTTTTGTATCTTTTGTCATATGTCATCCTTTGGCCAGGTGGACCAAGCAGCTGAGAAGGTTGAGAAGAAGCAGGGTGGTGCCACAGTCGAGCAGAAGGCCAGAATAAAATGGGAGGGGCCTGACCCTTGAGGACTGTAACTCCCAGGCAAGTGTCAGGGATGATGTGTTTTTATTTGGGTCTCACTGGGGAGGGGTTACCTCCTTGTTCATCTTGTTCTCTATTCTTATGAGTCATGTGCCACAATTTGTGGCACCCAAATAAAATCACAGGCATGCAACCTTTTTGGGAAACCATGGAAACCATGGACAGCAGAAACATCACCTTGATGACCTTTATATGTGTTTGGGTGTGCTGCTTGTGATGATTGTGCTGATGATGGTGATGATGCTGGATGATGTGTTTGGGCTTTCCTGGTTTTCATGGAATCCCTACCCAATAAAATCACAGGTATCCATATTCCTTCATTGTGCCCCCTTTTTTGCCACCCTAGCCACAGCTTTTGTATCTTTTGTCATATGTCATCCTTTGGCCAGGTGGACCAAGCAGCTGAGAAGGTTGAGAAGAAGCAGGGTGGTGCCACAGTCGAGCAGAAGGCCAGAATAAAATGGGAGGGGCCTGACCCTTGGGGACTGTAACTCCCAGGTAAGTGTCAGGGATTGGAATCTTTATTTGGGTCTCACTGGGGAGGGGTTACCTCCTTGTTCATCTTGTTCTCTTTTCCTATGTGCCACAGTTTGTGGCACCCAAATAAAATCAGAGGTATCCATGTTCCTTCATTGTGCACCCTTTTTTGCCACCCTGGACAAAGCTTTTGTCATATGTGGCATCCTTTGGCCAGGTGGACCAAGCAGCTGTGAAGGTTGAGAAGAAGCAGGGTGGTGCCACAGTCGAGCAGAAGGCCAGAATAAAATGGGAGGGGCCTGACCCTTGGGGACTGTAACTCCCAGGTAAGTGTCAGGGATTGGAAGCTTTATTTGGGTCTCACTGGGGAGGGGTTACCTCCTTGTTCATCTTGTTCTCTTTTCCTATGTGCCACAGTTTGTGGCACCCAAATAAAATCAGAGGTATCCATGTTCCTTCATTGTGCACCCTTTTTTGCCACCCTGGACAAAGCTTTTGTCATATGTGGCATCCTTTGGCCAGGTGGACCAAGCAGCTGTGAAGGTTGAGAAGAAGCTGGGTGGTGCCACAGTCGAGCATAAGGCCAGAATATCCAGAATAAAATGGGAGGGGCCTGACCCTTGGGGGCTGTAACTCCCAGGCAAGTGTCAGGGATTGGAATCTTTATTTGGGTCTCATGGCATTTCTATGCATTTTTATATTTGACAAATGTTTTTTTAAAATATAATTATCTTTATTCATTGTTGTTTCAATGTTTTTTCTTGATGAGGTGAATCACAATAGAATTGAAGATATTGAAAGGTACTGACACTGAAGGGTTTCATCCTGTACTATACCTTCGGGTTGTTAAGCGATTCCAGGGTGTGATTGGCAGGCAGGGCAGAGCCTGGGAACTGATGAAGCCTTGGAATCCTTGGAGCAGGATAAGGATGGTGAAAGTGGTGCAGGGAAAGCTGCTCCCATTAGGGTTCCAGGACTGATTTCGCAACTTTTCCTAGGGGGAAGGGAATCAAATCAAAGTTGTTTTTCCCCACAGAAAGGATCATATTGGGAAAGCTGATTGGATTGCACACTGCAGGACAAGTAGTTTTGCTGGGGCATGCCCGCAATGTTCAACAACGTGGATACTACTTGGAATTTGTTGATCTCATCATGTACTCAATGGCAGCAAACACGCGTTTGAAGCTCATTTTGAATTCTGAACCCTTGCGGATCCTGAGCCTCTATGAGTTTCTGCAAGAAAGTTGCCCACTGCAGAATCATTTGCCTGTGTTGCCAGATGATACTAGTGCTGGTACTAGTGCAGCCACCTGGACAGTGATTTTGACATCAGTGTCCTTCGAGCCGACTCATGACCTTCGACGCATGTTGCATTGGTTGCCTGCCTGGCATGAGGGAGATTTTGGTAGTGGCTCTTCCAGTATAGACATAGATGAGAGACTGCGAATAGTGTCGGCTGACCAACACCAATCTCGTGAACACAACAAGACTGCCAGATTGAAAAGTGACTGGGATGAGTATCAGCGTGCCTCCAAGCAGTCCTTGAACTTCGTGCATTTGCTAGAGAACTTGTCCCGTCCAGAGTTTCGCTACACTGCAGCAGAAGTGCCTGCAGATGGAAATTGCGGGGTCTGGACTTTAGCTGCCCTCATGAACGCCAATCCCTGGCAAGCCATGACTTGTGACCAAGACACCAGTGACCAGATGATGAGAATCCGGAGAGAACTTGCTGCGTCTTGCACGGGCTTGTCCAATTACAAGTGTTGGCAAGTCTTGTTTGATGCATTGAGCTTTGATGAGGCCGAAGACTTGCGAGAGAGGTTTCGCAAACAGAAAGCCGATGAAACATTTGCAAATGGAGAACATGTCAAAGAGGAAACCCATGAGAAAGGTGAGGAAGCCAATGACCAGATGTTTTCTACATTTCCTAGCACACCGCCAAAAAAACAGAAAAAGAAAGCTTGGGAGGAGTTGGAAGAGAACAACGTTGACCAGCCAGAACCAAAACTGCCCAAGCCATCCAAGCCAGCCGGCTTGAACAAGCGTGCCCAAACTAGTTCATTAGCTGGTTTAGTCAAGCCCAGAACTGATGAAAACATGGCATTGAGCTTTGGTAGTTCCGGTGCGAGTGCTGTAGTTCCAGATGCAATTGTGCAGCTTGATCGAGACAACCAGAATTCATCTGTCGCACGTCATGTTGGGAAGGAGCAGTCACAGGCAAGACGGGATATTGAGAAGCAGAAAAAAAGAAAGCAGAAGTCGGAACATGACATACGCTTGGCCGGCACCAAGACTTTCCTTGCCAACAAAGGTTTGACATATACATTCTGGCAGCAGCAGCATTACAGTGACTCAGCTTCGACCAAAGCCATGTATGCTAGTTTATGCGAGAGTAAAGGCTTTCGCCAGATGCAAGAGTCACTACTTAGTGGGGTGATGCCAACCTGTAAGTCATGCTTGTACCTCCTGGACCAATGCCAGATCAAGATGCCAGATCTGCAGGATTACTTGGATGACCACGTTGCGCAGGCTTCGGCCGGCGATGCCCAACGTGGTGCTGGCTCTCGATGTTCTCGTCTTGGAGGTGGTGGAGGACTGGCTGATGTCGTTGACCTTGATCCTGATGGTCGTTGTGACGAAGATGAGAAACATGATGCAAGTGGTTCTGATGATGTCTGTATTGTCTGTACCGTTGATTCGGTTGATGTTCAGGCTGGGAAAAAGCAGAAAACCGAGCACGTCAAGCATGAACATGGTGGAAAAGATTTGAAAGATGCGAAAGTTGAGGATGTTGAGGATACTGGAAGCATCAAGATCATCAAGAAAGAGGCTAAGAAAGAGAAGGTAGAGAAAATTGAGAAAGGAGAGGATGAAGAGGCTGGTTCTGAAAGTGATGTTCATGGCAATCCTGGCATTGTTGATCCCAAGATTCCCAAGTTTCCTGCATCGGCAAAACTGAAAAGAGCGATGGGAAAGGCTGGTCTGGATCACCAAGGAAATCCAAAACAGCCCAAAGTTTCCAAATCATCCAAAGTGGACTATGTGGATTTGAAAGCCATTATCAAGTCCATGTCAGGGATTTTGGAAATTCTTCCAGAAGGCGCTCATGGAAAAAACAAGCCAGTGAGGTGCCGGGCATGTACATGGAAGAGGAAAAAGGATGTTGTGTTTGATGTGGTCACCTGGAAAAGGAGACAATACTTGGATCAACATCTTTTCAAGTCCGGGTCCCATATTCGTGCAGCCGCAGCCTACCAAAATCACCTTTGCGATGGACAGAATGAGAGTGCTGAAAATGCTGAAAGGGATGGAAAGGGTCAGAAGCACAAGAAACCTCAGAATTCTCAGAAAAAGAATAAGAGGTTTAAGCGTGATGATGTTTCAGGTGATGCTCGTGGTACTGCCGATCCTGCTGCTGCTCCTTCTCACCGGCATGGACAGGATGAGCAGGATGACCAGGATGACGAGGATGACGAGGGAGGGTCCGATGCAGACCCTTCAGATCCTGAAGTATCTCAAGAGAATCATGAGAATCCAGAGTATGAAAAATGCAGGGGCTTCAAATTTGAGACTTTCCCACTGAGCCGGATTGCTCAGTGCAAAGACTCGTTTCATTTGTACGCAACTTATGCAAATCTGACTTGTACAAAGCATGCTTTGAAGCCGATGGCCAAACCATCCAAAACTGAACCAGATGAGAATTTGCTGCACCGATACTTCCGTGACGTGACCAAAGACGAGTACACCATCTTCCACAGACATTGTACAGGCTTGGTGCCTCAGTCGGGCCCCGACGCACAGCATATCAAGCATCTAGGTCCTGATCATCCAAAAGTCAAATTGGGGCAGCACTTGGTTTGTAGTATGTGTCGCCAATTTGCTACCAACAAATCACTGATCAAGAATGTTTGCCGCTTTGCTTGCAAGTTCTACGCAGCGAGGCTTTTGCGAGCCAAGATGTTTCTAGTCGAGCTTCCACAGGACATTGAGACAGAAATCAAGAAAATGCCGGCCTACAAACTTGTCAAGTCTCTGACAGATGAAACTGACATGCTTATGAAAATCTCCATTCAGCAGCTTCAGTTCTATGTGCGTACATCTTTCATGTGCCTGCCTCCCTCGAGGTGGAGCCCCCAGATGCGTTTCTTGGTTGCCGGCTCAATCATTCCATGCATTCAGGTGAACCCTCATTTGCTAGGCAAAAACCAATCACAAAAAGCAGATTTGCTGGCCCGACACTTGTGCACGGGAAAGCTGTTGGATGTAGAAGACGTTGACATCAAACTGGGTTGCATGGTGGCCAGCGGCATGCTGGAGAGCCACCCGCTTCTCCACGGAATCCTGATTTCGGTTTGTGAAAAAATCAGGAGGGAGAGCAGAGGTGTGTTGAATATGAAAGGTCTCAGGCTTAATGACACCGAGCGCCGGCTTGTCACAGAGGCAGGCATTTCTTTGAGCATGGCTTCCGCAAACAAGTCTTTGATGAAAGAATTTGCACTTCAATTCGTTGGCAAGTCTCTGACCAAACTGGAAGATATGTTGGCCCGGGGCATTCCTGATCCATTTCTCAGCATTTGCAGTCTTGGCACTTTGGTCCAGAACGGTGTCCTGTTAGACAACATCTTTCCTCGTGCAGGGGAGAAATCGTGTGGTCGACGCCTGACCCTGGCTTTCGACAAGACGTACTTGTTGAAGCAAGTGAACATCATCAGCAATCGGCTTGGAAAAGGTCTTGTGGGTGTTGCTTTTCGGCCAGACCACATGAATACCCTTGATGAAATGGCTGAAGTGGGCAATGCTTTTGTTGATGTGCCAGTGCCAGAATCTGGGAACGATGATCTTGATGGTCCTGAGGAATCGGAGGAGCATGATCTCCCTACTAGCAAAAAGCTAGATGGTTTGGATTTTGCACGTTTGGACCATGCGAAAGAAATGCTGGATTGTGTTGTATTTGACCCAGCCAGCCGTGTGAAAGGCAATCCCAGGATCTCTATCTGTTCCATTCCCATGGCATCAGATTGCAATGCCGAAGCTATGCTGTTGGTGCTGGGCGGAATCATGGCGAAAGCCGGTGGATCGGTACGATCTCTTGTGTGTGACAATCACGGATCGCACAGATTGATCAAACAAGCTCTTCTAGGCCAATATGCTGCAAAGCCGTCCATCCCTTTCTTCGGAGCACTTGAGTATGTGCAACTGCCACCGCTGGAGATTTTGAATTTCGGCTACCAAGTGCCATTTTTCCAGGAGGAACCCATTCTCTTCCTCAATGGTCCTTGCCATATCCAGAAGAAGCTCAGGTGTAACAATTGTAACAGATTGATCAGATTGATCATTTTTTTGATTTTTTTGCATGTTTTGAATATTATAATTTTAATATTTTGAATATTTTTGCCCACAATAGTGCCCAGGAACGTGGCCTCTGCACTCCGATCTGGAGTCCGCACGATCTGGTTCGGTCGGTATTGGTCCGACGCATCTGGGACCAGAGATCTGGGCATGATGCCAAGTGCCTTTTGTGGGTTTGATGCCCAATCAGACCGGCAGGCTGCAGTCTACCTAAACCCATATCACCTGGTAGCAGTTGAGAAGAATTCCAATGGAGAAGACATTGCTTTTGTTTCTGGGTCAAAGGACATCCATATCTAAATGTTTGTGTTGTGAGATATCTGGAATTTCGGGATTTATTTATTTCGGAGTTTGTCAGATGTGATATGTTAGATTATTTTGATTATTATGATTATTGTTTCCTCCCCAGCATTCCTAGATCATCTTAGGTTCCTTGGAGTCTCAAAGGCTTGCTTTTGGCGAACCTTTGCCAAGGGCTGCTTCAATCCAGCGTCATGCACAAGAAGTTGAGCGTCCAGAATCGCTTGGAGAATGCGCTTTGTGCATTCACATTGCTTGAGATGGGCCACATGTTGGCCCTTGAGAAAGAGAAAGACTTGGGCTGTAAGCCTGGCAAATGCTTCTTCGATCCCATTACGATCCGCAACATGAAGGACCTTGCAGGTTGTGTGGCAATCCAGTCTGTAGCACTGCCTGATGGATACCATTGGAGGCCGCATGGAATGACTGAATTACCAATTGAGCAGCATTTTGGCATGCTCAGGGCACAATTCACTTCGGCACAGATGTCCACCAGAGACTACATCAGAGCAAGCGCTCGGTGTGCAGAACAATACGTGCGCAAACTCCGGAATTCTGGTTCTTCAAATTCTTCAGATGTTCGTTTTCCTGTGGAAGAGGACAAACGGCTGACAGATCAGGAATTTTCTGAAGCAGGCCGTCGTGCTTTCAATTCAGCACTGGAACTGATGGCTATTTGCAGTGACTACACAAAGCCTCAGCTGAAACGGGCATATGCTGCATTCGCATCCAACAGACCCGTGCTGGCAGAGTTGGAGGATTCTTGGATACCATAGAATCCATAATTTCTTTTAGAATCTATAGATTCTATAGATATGTTAAATGTGTTTGCTTTTTTAGTTATTTATGATATTTTAGATATTAATATAATCTAATATAGATAATATAGGATATATAGGTACTGAAGTTGTTTGGGGTATGTTGTATCTGCCTCCAGGGAATATCAGGCAAAGATTCTTCAGAATATTTTTTGATGATCTGAGATATCCCATCAAAACATGTTTGGGTTTCCTGGGTACCTGAAATTTTATTTACTATATTTACCATTGTGAATATTGATAATATTGGGAGGTGTTGACTTTTGGGAATGCTAGGATTACTAGGTTTATTGGGTTTCATTGAAATCATTGATCTGGCCCCAACAGATTGAACAGTGGGAGGGGGCACCAGAAGGGTTTTGACTACTTCAGAGAGGTCAAGCCAACTGTTGTTTAGTGGATGATAACCTCTTGGTTAACTCCAGGCTATTGACCATGGGTAGCTTTGATTTTATCCATGGTGCTCTGTTTTGCACAATTTATCAGCTTTTCATGTTTTGGGTGTGGAATGTTTGGGCCCCTTCCCCAAAATATTTTTTGGGTAGGCTGAGGAGATACTGGCACCACATCAGCATTCTAGTTGGGTACCTATGATTTTATTTTGGTTATTTTGGATATGTTGGGTAGGATGATTGCCATTATGATACGTATAATATGTTAGAATATTTTCAAACATTCTTCAAAATATTTTTTTGGGTGATCTGAGATATCCCATCAAAACATGTTTGGGTTTCCTGGGTACCAGAAAATTTATTTATTATATTTACCATTGTGAATATTGATAATATTGGGAGGTGTTGACTTTTGGGAATGCTAGGATTACTAGGTTTATTGGGTTTCATTGAAATCATTGATCTGACCCCAACAGATTGAACAGTGGGAGGGGGCACCAGAAGGGTTTTGACTACTTCAGAGAGGTCAAGCCAACTGTTGTTTAGTGGATGATAACCTCTTGGTTAACTCCAGGCTATTGACCATGGGTAGCTTTGATTTTATCCATGGTGCTCTGTTTTGCACAATTTATCAGCTTTTCATGTTTTGAATGTTTGGGCCCCTTCCCCAAAATATTTTTTGGGTAAGCTGAGGAGATACTGGCACCACATCAGCATTCTAGTTGGGTACCTATGATTTTATTTTGATTATTTTGGATATGTTGGGTAGGATGATTGCCATTATGATACTTATAATATGTTAGAATATTTATAATAGAATGTTTATAGAGTTTGTATATTGCCCAGTGCATTGCAATATATATATCAAATATCCCAAGAGATGCTTGCATCACCCCACCAGTGACCCTGGATCCTTAGGATTTTATTTTGGCAATGCCAGGGATGTATTCAGGATTAGGTTTTTGGCTTTTTCTAATAACACCCATTAATAAGATTTTATAGGAAGCCTGAATATTTTCTGCCTTTCCCAAGGGCGCCATTAAAATGCTACATACTTGGCTTGGGAACCTGGCATTTTATTCTGAGTCCAGGCTATGTTGACCAGTACATACCTGTTCCCTGTCAAGTCTTTTAAGTCTTGAGATTCTCGGGATTGTGGTTGACTACGTGAGATCAGTTTTTTCATTGCCTCACTCCACAACACCACACCCAGGAGCCTGAAGAAGAAGATGATGATGATGATTTGGGGGAGGATGTGTTTTGCAATGCGGAGGAAATGGTTCATATTTCTGGAGATGCAGATGAGCAGGACCAAACCAAACTGAAAGATCTGAAAGGCCCTGACCGGGATTGCTACGCATTGCTGAAGCAAATGCAAGCACGGGAGACAGCGGAGCGGCAAGAAAGTGAATGGAAGATCGACCAGGTAGACGGAATGGATGCTCTTCGTTTGGGCACGTCCAATCCAGCCTCTCAAGCTGTGAACGGTTTGGATCAAGCAGACGTGGAAGCATGTCTCAGTGGGGATGTGCCTGCAGAGCTGAAAGCTGATCAGGATGATGGCAGCCAAAACAATCTTCCTACTCTTCCCAAAACAGGAGTGAGCACTAGTCGATGCTTGTTTGATGTGCTCGAACATCCCACCGTGAAAGAAGATGCAAAGCATGATCAAGTGTGGCTTCATTTGTGGAGGCTTCTGGTCCGTCTCAGAGCTGATGAGGGGATGGGCTGTGATTCTCTGTTTTTGAAGAACCATCGCTCCTGCAGGTGGATCAGTCAACGCCGCAATTGGCATCAACAGGCAGAACATGCCTGTGCGGTCATCAACGCTCAAAGTGGCTTGTCTGCAAGTCGGACATCCAGAGCTGCAGCATGGAAAGCAACAGCAGCAGCTGCCGTTCAGAAAGTGCTTGGTTTAGATGAATCGAAACTTCCAGAAGTCCTTTCTTCGGGAGCAGTGGTCTTGCTCTTGGCGCCATTGAAGCAGCCAAGCTGGCGTGTGGCAGTCGTTCTTTCATGTTGGACAGTGGCAGGCCGAAAAGTGAAAGCCACACATTTACAAGTTCCCATGAACAAGGTGCATTGTGTGCGTGTGGCTCTGATGGAGCCAATGGAAGACCGACCAGAGGGCACGTTCAAGGCTGATGCAGGAAGCATTGCGCTGGTTTCATCACCATTTCGAGTGGCTATGATTTTAGACTGTATGGCAGGGTCAACACCCACACCAACGCATTTCGAGTGCAGACTCACGGAAGAATGCTTAGAAGCTGTGCAGAAGGCTCACTTGATCAAACAGTGGCCCAAGGCATTGATGGAGCAAGTTGAGAAAGATAGCAAAGCAGGCAAGGTGGGAGCAGCCAAGACATCGGCTATGTCACCCACAGCCAAAAAAAAGAGTTCGAGAAGGAGAGGCTTGAACTCGCCCAAATGCCAGACAATTGCTCCAGGTGCCGATGATCAACATCCTGATCATTGTGCTGGGGATGAAAAGATCGAGAAGAATGGCAAAGTTGGCAAAGAATGCAAAGAGGATAAAGAGGCTGGTGAGGATGGTAAGATTGGTAAGGCTCAGGCTGGGGGTCCGGAGAAAAATGAGAAAAATGAGAAAAGCGAGGAGCATGCAGCGAAGATCACGCTCAAAGATTTGAAGGGTTTGAAGACTAAAACCAAACCATCCAATCCATCCAAAGATTCCAAAGAATCCAAAGATGGCCAAGCCTCCGAACCTAGCGATGAGCACATTGTTCCCGTTCCGTGATTGCACAGATTTGTTTGGTCATAGATTATATAGATATTATAGATTATATAGATTGATATTATTGATAATATTGATAGATTTCTACAGATGTTGTATCTTATTTATACATTTTATGCAAATTAAAATAATCATAGCTGCCCGACCAGAATCAGCAAGTGCATCCCAATCCTACCAATCTCTCTAACAAGTCTGACATTCTCACACATCGCTCAGGTGCCTGCAGCTTTCCGTCGATCCGTTGAAGGAGAGAAGGCTATCAAACAGCAAATGCGGCAGCTTTTTAGGCTTGCAGAGGACGAGTTTTCTGAAAAGCCGCTGGTGAATCAAAAAGGTGAATTTACCATTCCTGGATTGGAAGGGATTGCTTGGGAAGAGTTAGTGCAGAGGGCACCTGCCTACTTCTCAGCGCTTTTCCACAAAGTTCGTGGTAGACTAGAGTTTGGAAATGCAGTTTACCAGGTTTTTGAGAAATGCTATTCGCAGTTGAAGGGGAGTCCACCGGTCCGAAAACGATGGGCAAATTTGTTGCTCGATATCCCAAAGGGAAGCTTGAAACCCTTGGGAACTGATGGAACTGCAGCATCTGCATCGTCTGCGGCTTCAAAGCCATCCTAGCCTGGCGATATTGGGGATCATGGGGGTCACGGGGCAAAAAACTGATCAAATTGTTTTGCTTAGTTTGTTTCTTATGATTCTATTGTTTCTTGAAACCAATGATTCTACAGTTTTTTTGCCCAGACCCTTTGTCTTCAATATGCCGATCATGCCGAACACTTGCGAGGGTTCACAGCAAGGGGTGAGCACCTTGAACATCTTGAACGTTTTTTAATGATTTTATATATTTTATATGGCCTATCATGTTTATCATGTTTATCAATTTTATATTGTCTTGAAAACCTTTCGATCTTATCATACTTGAACAGACTGATCAGATCGAAAAAAATGTCTATGTATGTCTATGTTGATTATGTTGGATATGTTGGACTGGTTGCGCACCTCCGTTGTGATTTCAGCAGCTATCAGCAATTGCTTGCGACGATAGTTGCATGGGACGATAGTTGCATGGGGTTATGGACGACGAAGTTCGTCCAGTGTGGATTTTTGAGATCTGTCAGAGGACAGAAACATCAGAAAGCACCATTCAAGAATATTCAAGACATGCAAGACTTAGCAGGAAAAAAATGTTATTTCTACGCTTGCTGATGCCGGTGTCTGAGTTTGAGTTTCTGGCAATTTCTGCAAACGATTCCAAACATTTGAGATGCTTGATTACTTGTAGATACCTGTAGATCCTGTAGAATCTTGAGATTCTTGAGAATCCTGAGACGAACGCTGGAAATATAAGATATAGAAGAATCCTGAGATGTAGCCTTCTGAATCTTTTGATCCTCATTTCATCCATCGGTGCCGCCAGGCGCACATCTCGCAGAGTCTGAAGGGTCTGAAGCGTCAGCTGTAAAAAATAGGATAGGAAAGGGGAACATGGAGAGTGCTTCGATATGAAAGGCGCTGCAAAAAATGGTTCACCTGCTCACCTTGGGTACCTGGCTTTTTATTTTCTGGCACCCTTGGGTACCCAACAAAAATTTATTTTATTTTTATTTTGCAGATTTTCAAAAAATAATTTTCAGTCAGGATGGAGGAATTTATTTATAAATATGTTGATTTTCCCTATTTTCCCAACATGGTTGGGTACCTATGATTTTATTTTCAAAATTATTTTGGTTTAGGGTCCCCAACCCCACCTGGGGACACTACAGGGGGATTCTCATAGTTCCCCCAGTGTGCTTCACCCTTCACCTGCACACAGCTGAGCACGAGGCAAAATAAGCTGCATGGCAGCCGCCGCACGCAACACTGCAAACCACCCGCAACACTACACGCTACACTACACGCAACACTACACGCTACACTACACGCAACACTGCCGAAATGCTGCCAGGGGCAGCATTTCGGGTCAGGACAGAAAAATCGTCTTGTATTCTCATTTCATTCCTTAAAAGCATCAAAGCTCCAAAATGCTGCCCCTGCCAGCAGTTCGGTAGTGTTGCGTGTAGTGTAGCGTGTAGTGTTGTAGTGTTGCGTGGGGCTGCCACGCAACACTGGTCACTACTTTCATGAGCTTCTTTGAAAAGGATTCTGCTTCCTCCCTCCTCCTGGTCCGGCAACCATTTTCTGGCATGCCAGCGCTGCTTTGCCCAGCTTGTGTTGCAATATAGTCAAATTTAAATGCAGCAGGCTCCATGACCTTTAATTCAAACAATTAAACATTACTGATCTGACCGGCTACTGCATAATGGCCAAAACATCCTTCAGCTTCTGCCCACTGCTTCTTTGCAGTTCTTCACCCAGGGACATAAAATTTAAATTTCTTCCCGCCGTCAGCTACTTCCAGGGGATCAATTCCATCGTCGGTTCTTCTCATAGTTCCCCCAGCGTGCTTCACCCTTCACCTGCACACAGCTGAGCACGAGGCAAAATAAGCTACATGGCAGCCGCCGCACGCAACACTGCAAACCACCCGCAACACTACACGCTACACTACACGCAACACTACACGCTACACTACACGCAACACTGCCGAAATGCTGCCAGGGGCAGCGTTTCGGGTCAGGACAGAAAAATCGTCTTGTATTTTCATTTCATTCCTTAAAAGCATCAAAGCTCCAAAATGCGGCCCCTGCCAGCAGTTCGGTAGTGTTGCGTGTAGTGTAGCGTGTAGTGTTGCGTGGGGCTGCCACGCAACACTGGGTCACTTTCATGAGCTTCTTTGAAAAGGATTCTGCTTCCTCCCTCCTCCTGGTCCGGCAACCATTTTCTGGCATGCCAGCGCTGCTTTGCCCAGCTTGTGTTGCAATATAGTCAAATTTAAATGCAGCAGGCTCCATGACCTTTAATTCAAACAATTCAAACATTACTGATCTGACCGGCTACTGCATAATGGCCAAAACATCCTTCAGCTTCTGCCCACTGCTTCTTTGCAGTTCTTCACCCAGGGACATAAAATTTCAGTACGAAGAAAAAAGGAATTCTTGTATATTTGGTCTTGCAAATTTCTTCCCGCCGTCAGCTACTTCCAGGGGATCAATTTCATCGTCGGTTCTTCTCATAGTTCCCCCAGTGTGCTCCACCCTTCACCTGCACACAGCTGAGCACGAGGCAAAATAAGCTACATGGCAGCCGCCGCACGCAACACTGCAAACCACCCGCAACACCCACGCTACACTACACGCAACACTACACGCTACACTACACGCAACACTGCCGAAATGCTGCCAGGGGCAGCATTTCGGGTCAGGACAAAAAACGTCCGGTATTTTCATTTCATTCCTTAAAAGCATCAAAGCTCCAAAATGCTGCCCCTGCCAGCAGTTCGATAGTGTTGCGTGTAGTGTAGCGTGTAGTGTAGCGTGTAGTGTTGCGTGGGGCTGCCACGCAACACTGGTCACTTTCATATACTTTCATGAGCTTCTTTGAAAAGGATTCTGCTTCCTCCCTCCTCCTGGTCTGGCAACCAGTTTCTGGCATGCCAGCGCTGCTTTGCCCAGCTTGTGCTGCAATATAGTCAAATTTAAATGCAGCAGGCTCCATGACTTTTAATTCAAACATTACTGATCTGACCGGCTACTGCATAATGGCCAAAACATCCTTCAGCTTCTGCCCACTGCTTCTTTGCAGTTCTTCACCCAGGGACATAAAATTTCAGTACGAAGAAAAAAAGGAATTCTTGTATATTTGGTCTTGCAAATTTCTTTCGGCCGTCAGCTACTTCCAGGGGATCAATTCCATCGTCGGTTCTTCTCATAGTTCCCCCAGCGTGCTTCACCCTTCACCTGCACACAGCTGAGCACGAGGCAAAATAAGCTACATGGCAGCCGCCGCACGCAACACTGCAAACCACCCGCAACACTACACGCTACACTACACGCAACACTACACGCTACACTACACGCAACACTGCCGAAATGCTGCCAGGGGCAGCGTTTCGGGTCAGGACAGAAAAATCGTCTTGTATTTGCATTTCATTCCTTAAAAGCATCAAAGCTCCAAAATGCTGCCCCTGCCAGCAGTTCGATAGTGTTGCGTGTAGTGTAGCGTGTAGTGTTGCGTGTAGTGTGGCGTGTAGTGTTGCGTGGGGCTGCCACGCAACACTGGTCACTTTCATATACTTTCATGAGCTTCTTTGGAAAAGGATTCTGCTTCCTCCCTCCTCCTGGTCCGGCAACCATTTTCTGGCATGCCAGCGCTGCTTTGCCCAGCTTGTGTTGCAATATAGTCAAATTTAAATGCAGCAGGCTCCACTGATCTGACCGGCTACTGCATAATGGCCAAAACATCCTTCAGCTTCTGCCCACTGCTTCTTTGCAGTTCTTCACACAGGGACATAAAATTTCAG